ATTTACAACCCTGAGTTTAAAGATTTATTGCAATGCACGCATGGCATGGCAGACTCCAAATGATGTGTTCAGCCTGGTTATTATTCTCTTAAATCCCATTTTTTCCATAGAGAAACAAGCGGCCTCTGCATCATGTTGTCGAGACTTTTGTCCTCTAACTGCCTAGGTTTATTCAGATGATAATAAAAACAGCAAAGAAAAGTCACAACTTCAAGGGGCTGGCTGGCATCTCTGAACCTCAAGAGTAATAAAAACACCTGGGATCTTAACCAAGCACCAGATGGTCTTCAGACAACTAATTGCAGGCTGAGCATTCACATCTATCAGTGCTTGCTTATTCCACTTTAAAGACATGGTTAAAAACCCTATGGTAGTTTAAATTCTCTCCTCCCTGTGAGAAAAGCAGCACAGGCAGCAGCCATTATCACCTCCTCTTCATTGCTTTGGTATGTTTTTGGACAGTGGCTTAACTATCTGCCAGGAGCAAGGGCCTTAGGTCATCTTAAAGAGCTTAAACTGATCAAAGGCTTTAATGTGCTTAAGGGTGGTGTAAGGACATTGATTATACTTAACCCTAAAAAGAACACAAAACACTGTTTATCTAAGACCTGTAGAAGTCTTTTGTTTGGAGTTTCCTCTTCTTCATATGCATCCTCTTGAAGCACAGTACAAGTCAAGGTCCCCTGAAGTCACTTGGAAAGTCTTCAGTTAGCTCAAAGGAGCATTGCTGTTGTCATCAGCTGCAGCAGGTTCAGCCTGATGTGGTGGACATCTTTAGAGCTGAGTTTATAGTTTTCTGTACTGAAATTGTGGTGTCAAAACTAACCTGGAAAACATTAAAACCCAACCATAAGCACTAGTTTCATCTGTGGTAAAAAAACCCAAACCTGTGGTCCCCTATCAAAGAGCACCTTTCAAACTGTGGTTCTTTTTAATACATCCAATGAAAGAAATAGCAGTGAACCTTTTTTATTTTTCTAAGAGAAGCAATTTTCTCATTTAAATAAGCATTTAAATTTCTCATTTAAAATAAGCTACTTTCTGTCTCTTTTTTAAGCAAACAATTCTTATCATAAATTCATTTTCTCATGACTCAGCACAATACCCAAGAGGATTTCCTCTAAATTTCCAAGCGGGTCACCTTGGATCAAAGGCTGGAGCTACAATATTCCCACTCTTGAAAATGCCAAGAGATGTGTGAATGCATGGAAAAAAAACTGAGTTTGGAGGGAATGTTTATCATGCTGGACAGAGCTGGCCCCTTAAAAAGCATGATTGTAATCTGTGCTGCCGAATTTGAAGATCACAGAAGCATTGAATCATAGACGCAACCAGGTTGAAAAGACCTTCAAGATCATCAAGTCCAACCTTTACCCCAGCATTGCCAAGTCCACCACTAAACCATGTCACTGAGGGCCTCATCTACCTGTTTTTTGAGTACTTCAGGGATGGTAACTCCACCACTGCCCTGGGCAGCCTGTTCCAGTGCCTGAGCACCCTTTCAGTGAAGACATTTTTCCTAATATCTAGTATAAACCTCCCCTGGTGCAGCTTGAGGCCGTTTCCTCTTGTTCTATTGAGATGCCTTGCCCCAGGTTTTTATTTCATATTGGGCTCATCCTAGAGGCTATGCAGCATCTGAGATACCATTTTGCTTTGAATTGCTTGCCAAGGTCTACACTCACTAATGACAGTGCTGCTATCAGCATCCGTGGGAGCAGACCAGCACCAAATAACTTTGCTCCTGCTGCACTGCAGTTAGCGTATGTACATACCTATGTGTGTGAAATCAACAATCCACCTTCTCTCTGGGGCTGGCCCCAGTTTTTAGAGGAAAAGGTGCTATCTGAGGTTGCTGCATGGTTGTAAAGTACAGCTTGCATGTGGGGTTTTAACCCTAAGCATGGGCATGGACATGTGGGTGTTTATCTGTTGAGCATGGACCTGGACAAATGAGCAACTGGCATGTTTCTGACAGTTTTGCAGAAAAGCATCAATAGTGTTGATTTGTAATTGAAAAGGAAGATTATATTGTATGACTCAGAAACAGTGATGGGAAAGAGATCCAATAGTATAGTATTTTAGCAGAAGAAAACCAGGTTGCAAGTGAAAGACCTTGAAAAACAGACATGACTCCTTTATTTATGCTCATTGTAATGTAGTTTCCACAGTGCCCATGTTAAGGGCTAGCAGTGAGTGTGGCTGAGAGCAGCTGTACCATATACGAGCAACCCCAACATCATCTGGAAGGAGCAAAGTGGTAGAGATGTAGTTTTAAATATTACTCCAAAAATCATATCACTTTACTCTGAAATAAACCATCTCATCTAGAAGCTGGTTTTTAATTTCTCCCCTAAATTTCCAATATGACTGCTACTGCTGAACCCAGGACACCACAGGAGGCTTTATAAAAAAGTTGGAACTTTTACATCTCCAATGTAAAGGTTTGGGGTTTTGTTGCATGGAGCGATTGGGTGCATGCGCAGTATGTGTAGCTAGTTCAAAAGCACATCAACCACATCTGCTTATTAGCAATGTTCTGATCTAACCCTTGGCAGAGCTGCAGAGCATGCCCAGGTAATGAGAAATTGCCACCGTGCTGCTACAGAAAGGGCCCAAATTGATGTTTTATTGGCAGTCTGAATTCTGGCACTTCTGTGTGCTTCATTTTACCACTTTATTAATGTTCATGTAATCTAGTTGTATGTAATGAAGCATTGAATGCAGTCATACAGAGCCCCATAGGCGCAGCAGGCTCTGCTGTATGCAGCAGAGAACTTTTCATGTAGGATTTTCATTTTTTAAAAACACTTGTTCTTCAAATAGCCACAATAGCTCTGCAGGTGCTTGCCAGTCAAGCAAGATTACAGACTCCCTAAATTCAGCCTGACATGACAGATTGTAATGACTCTGAAGGGGCTGTTACGGTCTATTGTGCTAGTGGTTCCTGCCTAATAGGAGCATAACATATACTTCTCATTAAAACTGTAATGGCTCCAGAGATTTCTGTATTACCTGCTACATCACATGAGTTATTTTATCACAAAAAAGGCATATTCATGTGGTGCTGAAGATGCAAGTTAAATAAGGAAAAGAAAACTTAGATTTACAGGCTGACATGTACCTTTATCTTATGCAATTTTGATGCTGAGAAATTGCAGCATTTGCAAGGATTTGAGCAATTGTAAATAAATTTTTTGGCTGTTAAAAGTGAGGATGGAAAGTGGGTGATGCTGTCTGTGCAGTGAGGTTTTAACCTGACACTGTAGGGACCAACATGACTTCATGAATAACAGTGGTGAGTGGTTTCGGTATGCCATAGCTCCAAGACAAGTTATGGTGCTCATCTTCTGGATGATGAAGCTCTTTGGCTTCTGTCACTCTGGAGGTCAGGGCAGGGCAGATGATCACACTTGCCCTTTCTGGCCTCAAACTCTCTCGATCTTATCCAGAAGACAGGAGGTTAGCCCCACTCAGTAAGCCCAAATCACAGTGTAGCATTTTTGATACCGAGTGGCTTACGTGTGAAAAAGCGAGAAACTATCGAGGGGATGCAGGTTGAGGGGAAACTTGGATTTGGTGATCAATGACATCCTTTTAGCTCAATCATGGCTTTCATTTCCCAGGTGTGAAGTGGCATGGAAAGCCTGCCTGGGGACTTCTGGTGACACTACCATGGAGCAGGTCATGAGGATCAAGCAACAAAATAAAAAGCGTAGTGATACAATGGGAATAAGTCAGGAGCAGAAGGAAAGCTGTTCAAAACGCAGGTAAGCACCCGCTGTAGGACATCCCAAGCTCTTTGGTCTGCCCATGTTGCTGCACAGCCACAAAACATCAAAATAGAGAGGTGCGGCGCTGAATTGCGGGAGCTGGGACATGCAAAGCCGAGGGGCTCTGCCCAGCAGAGGGTAGCATTGCTCAGACACCCCAGCCTGTTCTCCAAGTTTAACACCTTCATGCACCTCCAAATTCCCACCTTTGCCACATCCTCTTTGAAGTGGGAGGCACAGCTCAGCCCAGACCCAGGGAAAGCCTCACAGGCTGATACCTTCTACATTCTTCCCATAAATTAAGGAAAATTTGGAAAAACAGCTTTGAAAGTAGAATTTTAAGGGGTCTGTTAAAGGACGCGATGCATGTTAAACAGGTATGTGTGTACAATCACATCTGCTTTTATTTATACAATAACATTAAGTAAATATTATTTAGCCGCTTATATTAGGATTTATTTCCAGGTACCTAATGTGATGGACAGGTTTGAAGCTGCCCCTGCGGCACAGGAGTGCCTGCACCTGCCAGCAGCAAGGCCTGTGCTTTAGTCGCTTGTGTCCCAAAAGAATTGCACTTTTTTAGTGCCCTTACATATTCTGAAACTGAAGGCTAAGCATTTATAAACTATAAATGTATATCTCAGTTAACCTAGGCTGTAATTTTCTCTGATGTTTCTGATGAATTCTGCCCATCACCACGCATCAGAGCTCAGCTGATGCCCGATGTGACAACACTAGAGGTCTCAGTGTCGCTGAGAAAAAGCTGCTTTTAGCAATAACCTCAGCGGGGCCATGAGTGTGTGCGTGCCAGGCCGATGTCCTGCCTGCCTCAGGACACGGTGCCGGGACTTGGGCTTCTTGACAAGGCTACACAGTGCCCATACACCTGCCTCCGGGCTTGGTGCTGCTCAAGGGGGTGACCCTGGGGTTTGGATGCCCCTTGCTTCTCTGATGGTGCTGGGTAAGGGGGGGTCCGTGAGAAGGGGCGAGGTTTTGCATCCCAGGAATGTGTGTATGTGTGTGCGCGAGGCAGGCTGGCACCATCACCTCCGCGCACCCCGGCGCATCCCTGCGCAGCGCCGCGCAGCGCCCATCCAGGCAGCGCGGCCGCTTGTGGTGTGGCTTTTTAAATTTTTTTCCCCTTGCTTTCCCTTTTTCCCCCCCTCTTCGCTTTCCCTCCCCTCCCGTTTGACGTGCGCGGTTTTGGTGCAATGCGAATTATCTTCAGTCATTCAGTCAGGAGGGGCAGCGCCAGGCAGCAGAGCAGCGGCGGGGCTGCCTCCTCCTTCTTCCTCCTCCTCCTCTTCCTTCTCCTCCTCCTCCTCCTCCCATTGCCATAACAACCGCGCACAGCCGCTGCGCCCGCGGTACCGGCGGCGCCGCTCCGCGCCGCTCCGCACCGCTCCGCGGCCGGGAGGCTGAGCATCCCCCGGGGCCCCGCAAGGGGGGTGGGGAAGAAAACAGTGGTATCCCTCCCCCCAAAAAGAGAAAAAAAAAAACAAAAGGGACTTTTTCGCTGGGTGGGTCTATCAGGAACCAAAGTGACCCCGACAGGCTGCGCGCAGCTGCTGTGCAGGGTGCGGAAAGAGGGAGGGACGGGGGAACCCCGCGAGTGACTCCGCGGGGCGGTGCGGAGGAGGGGAAAGAGGGGATAGAGGAGGGGGCGGCAGAGAAAGTTGGTAGGAAATAGCCCAGGAAAAGTGGCACTAGCGGAGCCCGCCGGAGCGCGGAGGAAATAAAAGCGGCGGCGGGCAGGAAGTGTGAGGAGGGGAAGGAAGGGGAGAAGAAGGAGGAGGAAGAAGAAGAAGAAGAAACAGCAACAGCAGCAGCAGCCGCCGCCGCGGCAGAAGAGAAAGCAAAAGCCGCGCACGGCTCGGTGCCGCTCGCGCCAGCATCCGCGGGGCTGCCCGGGGTTGCGCGCCGTGGCCATGGCCCGGGAGAACGGGGACGGTGGCGGCTCCTGGAAGAAGCAAGCGGAGGACATCAAGAAGATCTTCGAGTTCAAGGAGACGCTGGGGACGTAAGTGGCGGGGAGCGGCTGCGGGGGGTGGAGGGCGGTGGTGGTGTCCCTTCCCTGCGGGGATGCGCGGGGTCCCCTGCGGGTGGGTGCGTGTCTGTCTGTCTGTGTGTCTGTATGTCCTTGTGTGCACGCATTGGTGCTGCTCCGCGCACTGCTCATCCATCCGAGCAAGAAGTCAGGGTGATCTGGAAACACAGACAACTATATATATGTATATATATATATAATGAGGCAGGAGCGGGGCTGACACCCCTCCTCACCCCCCAAAAAAGAGAAAAAAAAAGGGCAAAAAAAGTGTTTGAAAATATTAACTGGGCGAGGAGATGGGGAAAGGCTTCTTCTTGGTAGTGCAATTGTAAATAAATGCGGTCTGACTTGCACGCTCTCCCCCAAAGCCGATGGCTGCATCTATTCGTGGACAGACAAGCAGAAATAATCGGAGTGGATTGGATGTCTTAACGGTTGTTGGGGTTTATTTCTGTTATTTATAGTGACGGGGCATGAAGATTAGTAAAACGTTAAGAGTTGTGGGTTTTTTTTTTCAGGAGGCTGAGAATAAACAGGCACAGATGGTGCAAGGGAGCGGGGTGCTGGCTGGTGCTTTTTTGGCTGAACGGAGAGTTTTATTTTTGTTAAAACAAATTTTCCCTTATAGGATATTGTAGAGGTAGAGAGCCGGGAGCGCTGAAGGAAGTAAGCATATAGGCTTCTGTACATATGTATGTTGTAATTAAAGTTCGGTTGTTTTGGGCATCCCCCTCGTTGCTCTGCCCCTCCTGCCTTAATTGCAACTTGAAGCACGTCTCAAACCGATGCGTTGTTAATCCCGAGTAGTGCTTTTCATACTCTGCGTGCCACTTTCAAAATACTGTGGAACAAGTTTTGACTGTAATAGTTTAGTTTCTTTCTGCTTCCAAGGGAGGGCTCCCTATAAACAGAGTATTTCTGGTTCGTGGGCTCACTGATTTCCTATGAACAGGCTGTGAGTAAGAATCAGGCTGGTGGTTTAATATGGAGGTGGTGGGTCACACAACTCTGTTGTGACAAGCACATAGAAAAACACTGACTTAGCAAATCAAATGCACGTCTGCCCAGGTCTTTGGAGAAGAGAAGTGCAGCAGAAGAACTGAGTGTTATGGTGTGTTCTCATCACCTTCATCAAATTTTTGCTGTCAGAATTCCATGCCAGGAGAGGTGTGGCCCTGCTTGTCACCTTAGGCATGCAGTTCCCTTCCTGAGAGGAGTGTTGAGGAGGAAAGTCTTAATGTGATTAGATTTGTTAGAGCAGCAGGACAGTTTGCTGTGGTTTCCGTTCTTCAACTCTGTCATCTTCCTGATTGTTGTGTATGAAGCCATCTGCAAGGGTTAATTTGTGCCACTGAAGAGGTCCAGAAAGGATTAATGTGGCCTTGATCTGTATCCCACTGAAGTTAATGGGAGCAGGTGTTGGTCCCAAGGAAGGTAAAGCTGATCAGAGTTAATAGTTATGGATATTAGCATGGTTGTTACAAATTAAATTCATTAAATATGGTCAATTAGTGTCTCAAACTATTAACCATTGTCTTAGCCTCACCACTGGGTTAGTAAGTCCTTAGATCTGAAGCAGTGAAATTCTTAAACTTGACTTTGTCAATCTGGAAAGTTTTAGAAAATGAAACTCCCTGGATCACAGACCTGTGCCTGTGTACAGAAAACAGAGCTGTTTTCCAGACATAACCATATTCATTATGAATGTATGTGCATTTATCAGCCTACACATCAGTTGTGCATTCCTTAGTTTCAGAGAGCAGGCTGATAATTAGGAGATTTGAATCTGAGTTTTGGTTCTGTCCTTGGCCACCCACCAGCGTAGCACCTGCAGTTCCTACCAGCTCTGGTGTAACTTACTGGGGTGTGAAACTGCTTAAAGATTTAGGCCATCACTGAGCAAATCATTAAAGTACTTGTTCCATTCCCACTGAAGGCATTGAAGGTCTGTTCACTGACTAAAGTAGCAGATGTACAGAGTGCAGGAGATGGGACACATCCTGAGTTATTGACAGTAAAGTACTTAAATAGGAGCTAAGCAAAAGTCTAAATACCTTCAAAGCATCTGGATCAAAATGTTTTCCTCTGGCATTATTTAGGAGGAGGGATAAAATCGGCTTTGATTCCTCCTGCACTGTAATGCTGAACCGTGTTGGACAGCCGTCGGCTGATCTCACCCTCTAATAGATTTTTCTCTAGCATGGGTGGGCTTGAAGTGAAAACCTTGGTGTGTCAGATGAGATGTACTGGATTAGTGTTGTAGCTGTATTTTGCATTTCTCTGCCACCTTCCATTTCAGGGTGCCAAAGTGCTAAAAGCATTTCTAACAGAAAAGCAGCCCTTTTTCATGCAGCAGTTTTAAATGCCTGAGGTAAAATTGGTTAGAAGAAAGAAAAGCATTAAATCAGGGAAGAAAGTGAAAGAGAAACTTTAAAAACATACTCTGTTTCAAGTGCATTGATTTGTGAATGTTAAATCCGTGTGTACAATCTATGGATGATTTGTTCTCTGAGAGGAGTCTTTAAACTGAATGAAAACTTTTCAGCAGATTTTTAACAAGGGAGAGTTGAAACTGCTGGAATTATTAAAAAGATCCCAGTTCAGTTAATCATGATATCATTTGGGCTTCAAGGAACCGCTAATGAGTACCAGCTCTCTCTTCCAGAGCTGGAAACAATTATTCACAGGTGCCTCTAAATCATGTCCAGCCACCCTGATACTGAAATAGGCATCTTGAATTGGATGTCATCTCCATGTGTAAGAAAACAAGTTTTTTCCACTCAAAGAATTGCTTCCTTTAATGGCTGAGGTCTGTGTTGTTTGCTCTGCTCAATGCTCTTGGGCAGTAGTGTTTTCCTAAAGCCTTTATCAGCAAGGCAGGGGCTGGTTCAGGTGGTACTTGGACGTGTATTTACTCTGTTCTGCATTTACACGTTTTCTAAGCATGTGCAATCTTAGTTTGTGGCTGCAATCTCTCAGATACCAGCATGTCAACAAAATATTTTGGTAATATTAAACAAGAAAATGTAATTTAAAAATACTTTGCATATTATTTTATATAAAATATATATAATGATCCATTCTTGGGCTGCTGCAGTTTGGTGGTGCCAGTCCATGCAGGACTGCAGGAACATGGTGATGAACTCTACATGTGTAGGTTTGGAAGGTCTCTCTCCTTGAAACTCAACCTGTTCACTACTGCGCCATTGAAAGCGAAATTACAGATCCTGAAAAAAAAGCTAAGAAGAATTCACAAAGTAAATCAAGGATAAATTAAAATCACAGCAGTGGGCCATATCCTCAGCTGATGCAATTTATAGTCCTATCCAAGTCAAGACAGGTGGGCTTGAGGAAAAAATAGGATTTATCTAACTGCTTATCCTTCTATGTTTCCGCAAATTTACCTGTTGTAGCTCTACTCAATCTGCAGGCCTGGAGAGGGGGATTTCTGCCCCAGCCCTTGTGAGATGTGAACTTTCACAATAGCAGGAATGTGCCAAGGAGTGACCACCGAAATATATGTTTTTTCCTCCTTATTTAAATGGTATTTTGTCTAAGGCATTTTAAACCTCAATTTTTGACGTTTCATGAAGTAACGAGATACACCATGTCATCCACCAGCTAAAGAGGAAAGCCTACAATCGTTTGGTCTGCCTAATCAGATCAGCCCCACATTTCTAAGGTGTCTGTCGTAGGCCTTCTTGACATTAGAGTTATGATGAAGCTAGAATATTTAGAAAGGCTGAAGCTTAGTAACTATGGAAATATTGGTGCTGTCCTCAAAAGTGATGCGGTGGTTTCCTGAAAGCTTAGTCATGATAACACAGTGTTGTATGGGTACCACAACGTGGTAAGAGCTGGGTGGGAAGACAAATACACTACTCCAGTACTTTCCTAAAATACTAAACAAAGTATTTATTTAGTATTTTATACTAAATACTAAAATACGGTACAGAGAAAACTTACATATGGTTCTGTTCTTCTCAGGAGCTCTACTGTAATGTTTGGTTCATCTATGTCCTGTGTCTCCACCATACTCTTCCTCTTTGATGGGTTCCTGGTACTGTTCATGGCTCTTCTACATTTCCATCTGTGCTTGTTCATGCTGTGGAATGAAGTAACTCCATGAACTGCTCTCACATCTATTTTCTTTCTCACACACACATTGTCACAAACTCTTATGTGCTGTCTCCTGTGTTCTTGTCCTCTCACATCTTTCCTGGTATCTTCCCCTGCATGCAGTCTCACACCAACACTCAGGCTTTTCATGAGGTGGCCCACCTCATGCTCTCATCTGTTCTCAGCTGCTCAGACCTTCATGGGGACAAGCCTACTAGAGATGACCTGCCTCAGTCCAGGCAGTCAGCCTTGACTTCCACCATCTAAGAAGATGCTTGTGGTAGGACAGGTCCTGGTGGATGTACCCTATGCATTTGAGTTGCTGTGTAGAGAGGAGGTGCTGGGAGGTACCATAAGGCTCAAGATCTGTTTGTCTCTGGTCAAAGATCTTCCCTTCTCATCGACAGGGTGCCAAAAACACTTGTGTTGGGTTAGACACAGTGAAACATCACTGTTTAGCTTGAGGCTTTATGCAAATTACTCAATTGTTTTTCCCTTTTGATTTTGGAAATTCTCAAGATGTAAAGGAACATGTTGGTGTGCTTCCTCTGGCTCCGCACCCCCTGTGAAGATTGAAGAGTCTGTCTGATTTTTGTGTTTCTGCTGACACTGCCAGCAATTTCTGCCTCTCTTTTACAACACCCCAGTGTGGCAGCAGTGGCTCTGTTAGAGTGTTTCATCCTGTCCTCAGTTCAGTGTTTTTTTGTTAAATTGCATTGAAGAAACATCATATTGAAAAGTGTCCTCAGGGAAGAATATAACCTTAGCCAAAGGGCTGAAGTTAAGGTACGTGATTTCAGGGGGAAGGCTGATGAACCACTCAAGCAAACTATGAAGGCGAGTGGTTCCCATCT